GTGACTGTAATAGTCCGCCCCTCTCTACTATTTTTCGTCTTCACGGTATTGTTTATTATGTGTATGGTAAACAGAGCCTTCAAATACGCGTACGTTCCCGATTTATTTTCTAGTTAAAATTTTAGACGTTCGCATGATCTACTCTTCCTGACCGGAATATGCTACTTTGTCAATTTTTACACTTACATCTATATTTGGTAGGTTCCATGGCGCACTCATTGTTTTTCAGGGGATTTCCGGGTGTTCCACACCTTCTAGAAGTGCAATTTGCCTTAGCCAACGGTCCAGTTTTTATGGGATGTTTCATTTATCGGAACTCATTCGCCTTTCATAATTTGGACAAAATGACAACATGTCTTATTCACATCCTTCCTCCACTTATCTCTTACTGGTAAGCAAATATATCAGTTATTCATGTCTTTTGATCCTATTCACAAGAATAACGAACGAGTGTTGAAGAGTGATGCATTTTATTTTTGCTGTGCAAGACCTCTTAGGGTATATTTCGTGAATTTCATTCCGTATTAGTTCTTGGACTTTCACGGAGTGGTTTAACTGCTTTAGATATGTAAAACGTCTAAAATATTGCATTAAGTTCAATACATCCCAAACAGTTCAACAGTTTTGTTCTTATTAATATGCAGGCCAGCGTCTTTCAGCTACGTTTATTGCGAATACGCAAATGGAATGTTTCAGTTTGAAGGTTAAATTATCATTTTTACTCAGTTCCACCTATAGAATTTATTAATTAAGTCACAGGATTTTACCTAAAGGCGATATTACTCTTGATCAATTCAAACAAATAGCTGAGCTAGGTGGTTAACCAGCGAGCCAACCGATTACATCCAAAAACCCCGTAGAATTGGCTGCAAACAAGATTTCGGACGGTTTTGCCTCCTGCCAAGTCTACTTTTCACGAGCTTTTTTAAGTGCCTATTTGCTTTTAAAATTTTTCTCATAAATGCCAATTCCGGTTCAATATACCGCACATGCTTTACACACTGTTATATTCGGTAGTATTCGTTGGTTCCCTGAGGCGTCATCGGTTTGGTGGTGGCATAAGTTCGAAGATACGTCTGCCGCACCCCAAGTGGAGAATTGGTACCATGTGAATAACTGGATCTACCTCTATGCCATTCCGAACGCTGTTTTCATAGTTCATTGCGTAAGTGTATTGGTTTATTTTTTTTTAAAAATACCTCTGCCTTATTCACATATGAATTTTTTCATTCGAAAATGTCTTGAACAACTCAGTTCATGTTCATCGGTTTATAAATAACAGCAGCTATACATTTTCTTTAACACGGGATTGACTGTAGATGCTTTAAAACAGAAGTAGGATAGCAAATCGTAAACATGTCTGGGTTACTTACAAAGTACTTTTTAGTTTTAAACGAAAGCATCATCCAGCTACAAGCCTTTGCTTGGACCTAGTTGATTCATGCTTGTTTATGTAATCATTAAGTGTGCATTAAATGTTATTTTCTCCTTCTGTCTGCAGTTTTTGAGCTCACCGCCCATAAAACATAAAAGGTTATTGAATAAGTGCGTCCATAATTAACGTCCGGGGGACCACAGAATATAGTTTTTTTAGTTCAATGCTTTTATTTTCACACACGATAGCATCGGCGAGTGAATTTATTGACCCACTGAATCCAATGAAACGTAAAATGCCTTCGGGTGACATCCGCCCAGCTCTCAGTTGCAACTTGACTCGGCCATTTTTCATAACAGTTAGAACGATAATAGTAGCAGTGTCTTGAAAAAACGGGAAATTGATTCAGTCAATTACTTCGATGTTCAACGAGGTCGAACCGTTATCATAGTCGTTCGTTTTTGAGCTACAGGGTTGCTTAGTAGGTGCTTAAGAAGCTGAAATAAATCGGGCTTCTCCGAAAAGACTAAAATGCTTCAAAAGCTTAAGGCAATAATCAGGTTGTGTAGTAATGAGATATATGACAAGAAACTAAGCCGAATTTTATGTTGAAGCCAATGTTCTTCGAACCGATGACTTTAAATACCTCCGAGGTTCTTTATTAGATGTTACTACAAGTACAGGTTGGGGGCTAATAAATCGGCTTCATTTTCTCATTGATTTTTGGCATTACTGCTGAAATTCTTTTCGTGAATAATTAATTTGCATTAAAAAGGCACAGTAGTTCGGTTTCTTAAAAAAAGCAATTTCCTTTTTAGGCTGGAGACTTCGGTTTAGTGCTGATTGCCGCAAAGACTGTCAGCTGTGAGATTGCTTTGAGTTGGGAGTTGAGATTAGGTTAGGGTTCGGATTTGAGTTACATTTAGGGCGCAAGGCCGCGTTCTCAGGCCCTGCTAGGTACAGCCCAAGGGTAGCCTTTCATTAAGTTCGTGCACATTTTCAGGTCTTCAAAATGCGACCTGTAAAACGGTACAAACGTTTTTTTTGGCGATTTTATTTATCGAGTTCGCCCGTGTCGAAGATTGCTTGCGCATTTTTGTCAACTAACCTTGCAACAACAGACTGTTCTCAATCCAAGCGAACATACGAGTCCCAGGAAGTAATTGAAACGAAGACGATTTGATCGTTGGGACAATACTTTTATTCGCCCGACTTTTCGAGATCCGTCGCAGATTTATCACCAGAGACATAAGCAGAGAGCAGAGGGCGAGAGAGAAAGAGAGAGGGACCCGTTTATGTTACTGCTATCTGCTTATGTCTCTGATGATGAATCCGTGACGGATATCGAAACGTCAGGCAAATAAAATATTGTCCCAGCGATCAAGCCGTCTTCTTCTCAGTAGACAGTTAATTTGTAAACAGCAAATGCGGACGAAGTACACTAAAGAAGTTGAGTCATTTTAGACAGACCGAATGGATCTTGAGATCCAATGACTTTTTAATTGTTATTAACAGCTGCATTGTTACTTAAAAGTCGGAGACGCAGTCAGCGAGCCCAGTTTTAAGCACTTCACTATAAAATGGTTCTGTACCGTCAGACTAAATCATAAACTTCGAAAGTTCCATAGGATAGCCCATGATTTATATTATGACATATGTACTTACAATTTAGAACGTGTAATGGGCACGCAGTATCCAACATTATAAAATTTATTTTCACAGGAATTCATAGAAACGCCCTCTGAAAAACGAATAGAGTTTTGGCATAATATGTTGGTTACAGACACATTTCGTTCTTCCTCTACGCCCGTTGAAGCCCGATATGTTGTCTAAGGTTATAGATTTGCTCGTTAGGGGGGACTCTATCGGTCTAGTGACGTTGAATTAGCATTGCTTTGACGTTGGTTGGTTCATGTTTTTAATTTTATTCAGTTTAAAGTCTCCACTCACCATAACACTTTACAACCAAACTACCTATTCAGCCCAGACTCCTAGATGGTCCCTTTAGTTTTGGACGTATGCTTTGCTTAAGTATTGAACAGCTACTTTAACGGAATCCTCGACAGGTAGGAGATGAAACCTGCACGTTCGAATTATCCTTTATTTGAAAGCAGATAAGGCTGACACTGAGAGGGAAGTATCCTTAAAGTGACACGAAAATCTGGCATTCAATTAATTCTACCCAACCTGTAACGTTTTTTAGATCATCTACCATGTGGTTGTGCACGTCATCTTCAAGCCCTCCGAAAAGTATAACGACAGTTACCGGTATCTCTGCACTAAAACCACTATCGTGCAGAAGCCAAAACAGAAACTGCCTCCCAAGTAAGTACCTGAACCAATGCATGTCTCATTAAAAAATTTAAAGTGCATCTCCTGTTACATAATTTTTGACTAAAATTACTGTGCCTTTTTATAATTTCTGAAAGCATTAACTTCCTTGCGTGTTAGAATTCTGTTTTGAAGAATTCTCAAAATCACCATGCCTGTAGTCTGGCGTGGCCACCAGGACATACTCGGCCGCCGAATGACCTTGACCAGGCCAATAAGCACACACACAGTTTAACATGCGCAAGTGCTGATGCCTTTGAAAATTTGATGTGGACGTCAGTATCATATGCGTCCTATCTTCGTAGCACACAAGAGCAGCGTTGTCAATGGCCATCGGGTTGTGCCTGTTGGTGCATTTGAACAGCTGCAGAAATGCGTCTAGTCAAGTAATCTCTGTGCCCTACGGTTTGAAACATGCATTCCGCGACACTTGTTAAGGTGTGTGTGTACTGTAACTGTACTTGTTTTTTATTATGTCGCAAACCGAACGCCTACAGATGTGCAAGGGATATAAACAACAACCAGCCGCCCTGGAGTTGTCCGGCTTGTGTGCGTTTTCGCGTGTCCGTTTGTTAGTAGCTGTGCTGGAAACCTCCGTTCGACTTCAGTTTCAGTACCCAGAAAAATTCTCACCCTGATCACGCGCTTATAGTTTGTCAAAATCTTTCAAAACTTCGAAGCGCTGCTTGCGTTGACTGTCAGCATGTTTTCTCGGTTATGAATTGACTGTTGATCTGGCTGAGGTTCAAACAGTATCGGAAGGCAGCAAGGTCTGATCTATTTTGTGTGTGAGAACGATTGCTAGGATCGGTTATACACGGAGTGAATTTCCGTCTTTAAATGTTTGCATTCGTCTGGAAACGACGGTAAAGTTGACGAGCACAATTAGCAACTGCAATTCCGTCAGGTTAAGTCCACGCCTTGTAGTTTTAGCTCAATTACACATTAAATTATGCTCCTGATGCCTTCCACCCACTCTAAAGCACACCGGCTGAGCGCGCTCACGAGAGAGAGAGAGAGAAAGGGAACTTAGCGAATACTGACCAATCAGGGTTTAGAATGCTGTTGCCATGGTTCTACCGGGCAGTTGGCAGACTCGCTTTATACTACATTCCTGGCCAAGTGTAGGCTGTTACCGGGGCTGTATAATGAAGTATATGGTCACGGAGGTCCGGACTGTGGGATTGGAATCCAAACTGCCGCCCCCTGTCCTCTCGATGTGTCGAAATCCTGATCCTATGGTGTATGACGAACTGTGTTACACAGAGGCGCATGTTATGTGAGCTGGCACAACCGTGCCGTCTCGTACATCCTGTTGCTCTTGAGTTAAAACTTTGGTCCGGTGTTTGTTGTTGTTGAGCGTGGAGCATGGTTGCACGCGTAGGTGCAGGTTCACATCGCATCAGCGCACGATCGAAACAGAAGAAGCTATAGCCCTGTGCATACGTGTCAACCACGTCCGATCCCACCCTCGGTCTTCTCAATCCTGCCTTGATACCAGGCACAGCCGGATGAGGAAAGAGAGGGTGCGGCAGATACAGCGAAAGTTTAAAACTAACTCACGCGCAAGTCGGCGCGTTTACATGCTAAAAGAAACCGTGGTGGACATTTGACGGTCGAGCTCTGTCTGTAGCTGTTCCTAACGCGCCTATTTTCTATATCTCTCTCTCTTCAAGGTCACACCTCGTCATCTGGATGCTCTTCAACTGCGTCTCCAACGCGATTTTTATGCTGCTCGCATGCTTTGCCTGGTGCAGCTTCTTCGTGCACACGGCCATGCTGTTTGTCATCTTCTTCGACATGACCTGGAACGGAGCATGCTACTTTGTTGACTACCTCCCGACTCTGGCGCTGAGGAAAGCCATTGCCGACGGCACCATACCGGCTCCGCAGGCACAGACCAGCGGTGCAAAGTCTGGTAAAGGCGACGAGACCGACGATGAACTGGATGGTGACGAGATAGAGGTGGGAGACGAGGCCTCTGTGGAATACGAAATGGGTGATAGTGAAGACGAAGATTACTGAAACCTCTGAGAAATGAGCCATTTGCTTTTATTTTTTGTAACTTTTACCTGATATTTTATCATGAAGAGAAAATCCAGGGTTACTTGTTTTCTTTGCCGCTGTGTTCGGCAGATCCTGCTCTGAACCAGTACGTGTTGCCATAAT